TTAAGGATATTCTATATGAATCAATTGTTTTTTATATGAAAAACATACACCAAAATTCATTTCGAAAATCTGTCATTTTATGTTCCGAGCATTCTGTATTTTTGTCGTTCCGAACATCTGGACGGTTTTCATTCCGAACATCCGTCATTTTATGTTTCGAACATCCTGTATTTTTCGTTCCGAACATCTGGACGGTTTTCATTCCGAACATCCGGAAAAACGATTTTATGTTCTATATCCTGTTTCGAACATCCGGTTATTTGACCGGATGTCCGGAAGAGCAAGGACGAAAAAAGACACACCCCATTAAAAGGTAGCATTTTTTAAATATTTTATGCCATCTGTTTAAGAAAATTTTTTACACTCTCAATCTTCAATTTTCAACAGCAACAAGTATGAAACTATTGAAAATGAGCGTAGTTGTTTTTCATTCCTTTGTCAGGTCCTAGTAGAAGACATCTTAAACGGCTGTACATGATATAAAATGGTCAAATTCGGCACTGTGACGTCACCGTTTCCCGTAAATCCATAATACGATGATATTAGTGTGAGAAACAGTGATTGTGTTGCCAGCAGAAAAAGAAGTTTGTTGAACGTGACGACAGATTATAGAGAAACACGGTAAAATCTATATAATGTAGTAATAGGTCATTTCAAAGGTGTTTCAGATCGTCTAAAATGTCGTCACCAATGGTCGGCATGATCATCGTGCTGTCTAGATGAATAGAACTTATTTGATAAGTTTTTTAAATTTATTTTGTTAAACATTTATTGCACAAATAAAAAAAAAAATTATTTATTGGACTAGATTATATTTTTTTAATTCTGAAAAACATTCAGTGAAAAATTTTGGATTTTGATTAATAGCTAACATTTTTGAACTTAATTGTCCCATAATCAAAACAACTCGTTTCCAAAAAACATCACGTGTTTCATTATCTGTAACAAATGGTTTTAATGGATACGTTATTTCATTACCCATATAACTAAATGCTAAATAAAGACAAGTTAAAACAATTGAATGTAATTCTGAAACACTCTTAATTGTTGTGGATGGCACAATATATGTTAATGTATCACGTACAAGCAAATAAACAAAAACAACATTAACTGGACTAACAAATACTTGCTCTTGCCAACCTTGTAATATAAGTTGACGATCAGCACTTTTTATCCATACAATACAATCGAGTGGATCAAGTATTGGTAACAAATGTGAACACGACGAGCATAAATATTCACTCAAACAATGTAATAATTCACTTGTTGATGCTTGAATTATCGTTCTTTGTGCTTTTGTTGTGGTGGGATGTAATGAACGAATATGTTTTGTACTTGATGATAATCCATGATTATTATTATTCGATGTACTATTATTGGAAGACAATTGAATTTGAAAATGATGGTAAAATTGAGACTGAGGTTTTGGTAAATGATATACGGTTGGAACAAATGTTGAATGACGTTTTGTCACTAAAGAAAAATGAAATTACTTGTTAACGATTTATATTGAGAGCTTATTACAGTATATTCCAAATCTATTGAATAAGTTTGAAGAATATTGATGTTACTCAACAACAATTACATTAAAAGTCTCTAAAGTAGTATGCTACAAAAACGAAAAAAAAAAATTTGAGATGCTTCTTTATAGAAACATTTTAATAGATACAGTATATGTAGATTTTCCAAGAATGTATTAAAAATAGAGATAGTTATTTAAAAGAAATGATTCTCTAGAGGAATAAGTATAACACGTAGATTTTGTTGTGACTTTCCTTCTGATATTTCTTGGAAGTCACGATGGCATTATGAATAAAAAATTGTCATCAATATTCAGCATATAAAAGTAGATCTTAATTCTAATCATTACCTGTTGTCAATTCAAATTCTGGCATTCGTCTATATTGGATTACAGTGGCCATTTTATTGTTCACTAATTGTTGTTCTTGTTGTTCTACTGGTTCTTTTAAATTTTCTATATTGGTTAAATCAGCTAATGGTTGTTTAATTGAAAAAAGACTAAACGACTTTTTAACATTTATTTGTCGTTGATCTTTTTTCGATAATTTTTTATTTGTTTTTTCACAATTATTTTTAGCTATATCATAAAAATGTTTTTTTGAGAATAAATTATGATTATTTTCATCAATTGTCATTCCGTAATGCTTATTTTTTTCATGTGTATGACGTAAAGACATTTTTTTTACATTTAAAGTATCATTAATTATTTGCAATTGCTTTTTCCATGATGATCGAGTTGGTGTCAATGTTAAATCACTAGAAAATCCACCATGAAAATTTTTCGATTGTCTAGGAGAGAGATTACCCATAAGAAATGACTAGGTCTAAAAATAAAGCTATTTTGAATATAGATATTGAAGGATTACTTGAAAGTGACATGATTGGTTTGTTATCCATTTCACACTTCCTAGTGATCAAGATTTCGTTATACTTTCGAAGCAAAAGTTTCAGACCGTGATATTTTCGAGACTTCTTTCTCCGTAATAAGATGATTACCGAAGAGTCATTAATAAAAAAAAATATCAACTAACTATTCTTCGACTAATTTCATATCGAATGAATCAGTAGAGTGTCTGATGTTCATCCAATCTACCTACTATTTATCTGTCTATCGGGCTTTTTTTGTTCTGTTAGGCTATGAACATATCTATATATACATACACGTAGACAAATCAGATGAATTATTAAAAGACAAAGAACTATTCTATAGAATATACAAGTACTATTTACTGAACCAACATGGTGAGCATGTAGTTATATAAAATAGATATTAACTGACGAACTACATTTCTTTTTCTTCTATTATTTGACAACATTTTATTGCCGTTCTTTGTCTCTTGTTCTTTCTTTTCAGCAATGCTAGGATGTTACAAACTTTCTGTTAAAAGCATGATATTTAGAAAGAAAAATATAATTTCATTTCATTCTATTATTGAATATAATAGAAGGTTCAATTTATAATCATGTCCTTTTTCATTACTAATTTTCTCACTTACTTATCTGTTGCCAATGCATTTGGACTACTCTTCTGTTCAATTTATCATTATCCTTTCTAACACGCACTGACATGCTGAGATGGAAACATCTTTTAGACGCAAACACGAGTAAATGAATTCTGTTCTCTTCTCTATGCATTCTTCACCCAAAAAAAAAGTTGGTTGAACGCTCGTCGTCAGAAATGACTACGATGAATATAGAGAGAGGAAGAGAAAAAAAATTAAAGAAAGAAAAAGGCATAAACACTAGAAGGAGAGTCTTTTGTGCGCATAAAAAGTATTTGTGTGAACTAATTCTTTTCTTCGATGCACCGATACCATGTTTCCATCTAACTGTATATGTCTTGTAGACTATAATGATGAAATGAATACGGTGTGTTTGATGAATTCGGTCAATTTTGAACACAATAGAAATGTCGTTCTAAGTGCAAGACAGGGAGAAAAAAAAGAGAGGAAAATGTCATCAATACTTCAGTTCAAGTTAGTTTTTTTTTCTTGACAGCGATCATAGACGAATCGGAAATATCTCGATATTGATCAAACGGAATGATTTCTCTATATTAATTAAATGAATATAAACTTAACTACTATGAAAAAAAAATACACTGGCAAGATTTTAAAATGACTAGATTAATGATGATGGCTTATAAAACTCATTTTTCGGTTTTGTTTGATTGAATTAGTGAAGTGGCAATGAAGTTGTTGATGGATACTGGAAATAAATATTAGCTGATATATACGAGGTTATAAACACCCTTCGGTCTTTATTCTTGTTGTTATTATTATTGCAAATGTTATTGTTATTATTATTATTATTATTATTATTATTATTATTATTATTCGAAAACGTCATGTATTTGAAAAGAGCGGTCTATGACGTACCATGGCAGAGGTTTCAATAATTTCTTCTTATAAGTATTATCATTGATTCATCAGATAAGATTGATACGATATCTTTTTAGAATCTCTTTTTTTTCTTATTTACTGATTATAGTTTTGTAATATCTTATTCAGATAGTGTATCACTAAGTTCTCTTTTCTTATTTTGCCTAGAAGACAGCGATATATCGAATAAGTACAAAGAAAATAAGATTATAAGACTTTTTTGATTGATCTATGGAAAAAAAGTAAAGCACATGCCAATGTAGTTTTATCAGAAGACTATGATTGAAAAATGTTATTAATGCAATATCACAGTATAAAGGAAGCAAGTAAGCGCTCTACGTAAATGAACTATCCTTAGAAACAATTAATGATAATTCAATATGTGAGCTAATAACACGTTGTTAATGCCATGGATTCTTAGTTATCTAAAGAAAAAATTATTGTCGTTGGCAATCGAAAAGATTTAGATAGATAATGATGAATTAAATCGTTTTTTTTTAATTTCTCGTTTTGAACAATTGACAATAATAATTAATTTTAACAATTGAATGATAATTATCTAAGGCATAGGAATTATTTTATTAATAGAAACATTGACTTGCCCGTAAATATGATGTTTATCAATAAATACAAGGTTAGAAATTCTTAAACTCGAACATGAACATTCATAGGCAATATTTCAATAAAAACTAGATTTTCAGGTCTTTTTTTTTTATAAATCAACGTATATATTGTAATGAAAAAAACTTGAGAAGACAAATATTTCTGAAAACGCAATTGCACGATGTAATTGTGGTTCTCGTTTGAGCATATTTACGTCTATTGAGACAACACCAAAATCAGCCGCTTTCGTCGTAAAAGATGCGCTAAAACGTTTTAAAAGGCAACTTTTGCATCTTAAAAATGAGTCATTTTTTTCTGCATTGTTTTGGCATGGTTTGCAGACAAAGCTGACTTTGTTATGCATGGTGTTTGTCATAAATATTATGAAAAAACATTTCGGACGTTTTTCAGATGTCAAAGTTACATTTTAAAGCTTCTTCACGCATCTTCTATAATGATAGCAACTGTTTTTGATTTTTTCTCAATGGATGTGAACACGATCAAACAGGAATCGTAATTAGAGCATTTAAAGGTGTGTTTTCAGAAATTGTTGTCTGTTTGGGTTACAGCTACTTGTAGAAGAAATCTCTAGATCAAAACTTAAATATTAATAACTGTAATGACATGTCAAAGAAATAAATTATTCTTTGTAATTATTTATGTCTTTTGAAATATAAAAGATCGACTTGTATTTGCGCACTTTGAGCCATAGCTACATATTGTTTAGCTGAGTTTTTGTGTTGAATTGAAAGATATAATTACAGGCTAAATTTTAGTACTATATTGATAAAAGACCTTTTCCCCTACATCCTTTATTATATCATGATAATTAATTCATATACAAGTAATGATTTCGTCTAAAAAAAAAAATCACGTCGATAATCTTCATGTAGTTTTTAATCTTCGACAAGCCGATTAAATAAAACAAAACATTCATTTTGGTAATGGCAATGCTGGGATTATTGTTCCGGTACATTGTCCAAAACCGATTTTAAAACCATTGCCTTGATAAAAACCTAGAAAATCATTTTATTTTTTTTGTAAATATTAAGTCGTTAGTTCATATCTTTTTTACCAGTCATGGTTACTGTGTCGCCATCTTCAAGAAATTTTCTTGTTAAATTTTCATCTAATTCTAAAGGCTTTGAACCACGCCATGATAATTCAAGCATTGATCCATATGAATCAGGTGTTTGACCACTGATTGTACCTGTTGCAATTAGATCACCAGGTCGTAAATTACAACCTGTTATGGTATGATGAACAAGCATCTGTTTTAAACTCCAATACATATACTATTTTCATGACCAAATTAAAAATAAGAATTTATTGAAGTTTTTTCTTTTTACCTTTAAATTTGATTTACAAATTATATATTCTGTTGAAGATTTATTCGCTAAAAGAAGAAATAGTCTTCAAAGGTGAGAAAACAAAAATTTTCTTACGTATCAATGCTACTTGTAAATCAATATTGAATGCACTTGGTTCTTGTTGAGTTAAATAGGCTAATGGTTTTGGATCCTTAAAAATTCTAAAATCAAATATTTGTTTATTTAAAGAAAAACTCTTACTTGTGTTGGTCCATTACATAAAGCACATTCTAATGCATCCACAGTTACTATCCATGGTGAAATAGTTGTACCAAAATTTTTTGCATTAAATGGACCTAATGGAACATATTCCCATTTTTGTATATCGCGTGCTGACCAATCATTCATAACGACAAGACCAAATATATATTCATCAGCTTTATCCATTGTAATTGGTTCTCCTTGTTGATTACCTTGACCACCAATGAAAAGAGCCATTTCAAGTTCAAAATCAAGTAATTTACAATTTCCAAATATTGGTGGTTTACCTATAATATTAAAAAAAAATAGAATAATCTAAACTAAGTAAGCATACTTTCATCAGGACATGTTTGCCCATTCGGTCGACGAATTTCTGTTCCGGATATAACTATCGACGAGGCTCGTCCATGATAACCAACAGGTAAATGTAACCAGTTTGGGTTCAGAGCATTTTCTTTTCCACGAAACATTGTTCCAACATTGGTTGCATGTTCTTTTGAACAATAAAAATCTGTATAATCACCTAAAAGAAAAGAATACGTCAATAAATATCATAAAAAAAAAATATTTATAAAATTAAGAAGATTTTATAAGGAATCTATCAAGCAGCTCAGATCAATTTATTTCACCTATTTGTGCAGGTAGATGCATTTTAGCCTCGCTTTGTTCGACGAAAGCTCTAGAGATGATTGATTAGATGTATTTATGAAAATTTTAAAAACAATATGGTCTATTATAATATCATACTTTTTTCGTAATTCATCATTATCTTTTAATGTTGTACAAGTATCAGATAAAAGTTCTTGTAATCGTTGTCGAGTTTCTTTCCATGCTGCTTTACCAAGTGACATAAATTTATTGAGAGTTGTCTAGGTAAAATATAAAAATAAGTGTTTTACATAGAACAGAGAAAAAGTCCACTGTTTGTTTCTCTGATGGGATAACATGATTTGTTGAAAACTAGAATATTCTACCAAAGTGCCAATAAGTATCGACCTTTCAGTAAATTATATACTCATTATTTATCTGAGTGATTTCTTCGATACTTCTTAAATATAATAAACATTCGGATGGTAATAGTCAGAGACATCTCCAAAAGGGAATTTATTTCAAATTTTCTAATTTAATGAGTGCTGAGCAATTTAATGACATGAAAAATTATGTTTGAATGACAACTATCTATTCTTCTGTACTCGTTTAAAAAATCTTATAAAACGAAGATCAAACTCAATTTTATTCAATCTATATCATTCTAGTCTATAATTGTCAATGCTTGAAAGACTTCAATCGTATGTTGAATCATAAAAATCTAAATGCAAACTTTTGTTTTACCTCTTCAAATATATTTTGTTTTCCATTCAAATTTGGTCCATCAAATAAATGTTTAACAACAGATAAATCCAAAATTTTCGTTCCTATTGCAACACCAATTCTTGGTTTTACCTATATGATTTAATTCAATTCATAATTAATAATTAAAAAAAAGTTTACTTACATTATCTTTTGTTGAAAAGATGCCATAAGGTAAATTTTGAAGAGGAAAATGTGAATCAATACTAACTTCAATAAAAGACATCTAAAACAAAACATCACTAATAAACGCCTCCACAGTAAAGAAATTTAGAAAAAAAGAAAAAAACTAAATGCTTTATTGTCCTTTGCTACGTTTTTTCAAAGCTTTAGCTCGAACACCACTTAAAACATGCATTGTTATTTTATTGGAAAGAAATTCTGGTAAAAGTGATTGAATAAATTCCTAAGCAAAAAATAAATAATTTCTATTGATTATAATTTATTTGATTTACTTGAATTTCATGTGTCCAATATCCTGTTGTAAATGGAAGTGTAACACGATCAAGTGCACTAACAACGAATTTTTCTGGTGTAGGAGCAATTAAAGATGCTTTACGAATACCAGATAATTTACTAACAACATAACCAGGACATAAGGATTGAACATATACACCACGTGATATACATTCTGCAGCTAATGATCTGTTTTAGAATAAAAACAACAGAAATAGACAGACAGACAAGGTTAACAAAGTACATTTGACTAACCGTGAAAAAAGATCAATAAATCCTTTTGTACCCGAATAAAGACCTAATAAAGGTGTTGGTCGTCGACCAGAAATACTCGATACATTAACAATAAGACCTCGTCTTTGTTTGATCATATCTGAAATTTAAAATCGAGTTTTAGGAATTGATTAAGAATATTAAAGAAATAAACCTGGTAAAATTATTTGAGTTAAATTAGCCACCGAATCCACATTGCATCTGATCATATTATTGAGAAATTTTTCATTCTCTTCTACTTTATCGAAACATTCAGGATATTCATAAGACATTCCAACATTATTGATAAGAACTCCAATATCCATACCACGAATTGCTTCACGAATTGTTGAATAAATTGAGTTGTCTTCTAAATTAATTAAAATAAGAAGAACAAAAATAAAGCGTTAATAAGTTTTTTTCTTCATTTATCTTAAACTTTTAAATTGAGATGAAAATTACGTCAGTATGTACTGAGATTGAAAAGTATCTAACCAAGATATATATTTTGTCCAACACAAATAAAAATAAGTATCTAACTATTTGAATCTACAGATCATAATTATCATAAATCTCAAAAGTGAAGTCTACTGTATATTATTAATAGTTAAGAAAAATGAAAGTTAGCAATTCACTGACAAATTAAAAAGTCATAGAATAATATTGATGAAATTGGATATAAGAAAATTAGTTTAGATCACAATCTGAGAATTCTTGTGGAAGTTCGATCAAGATGACAAATCTTTTTTTTTCTCAAGACTGATTCTCGATCATCTTTAATATCAAGTACATATTGTATCGATTTGAACCAGTCTGTTAAACACATACTTCTATCAGTGACAGCAATTATATCATGCATCATATTTAAATCGAACAAGAAGCATACAAGTAGATTTTTCTTTTAGAATAGCTTTCTTGAGAACTATTCACTTTTGTCACGTTTCAGAGTTCACACAAGCCAACAGATAAAAAAAATAAAAATTGTGCCCACGATTCGAACTAGTTTTTTTTTTTTTTTGATCAATCATCCACGGTTTTTACACAGCAAAATGCAAGAGGACTGACTAGTTAACAATAAAGCTTTTGTGCGTAACTCAATAAAAAAAACACGTACTTAAGATCTGTAAGATTATGACTCATATATATCGGTTCTTGAAATAATTTCTAAAGTATTAAAATCGAGGCTAACACTAATCGACAACGATTCTGTCAGTTTTGTACAATATCAGAACTTTTCTTTGTTATTCTATCGAAAAAGAATCAATTTGTTTGTCACACTGATGCCTAACTATAAGAAAATTTTTAGTTTACACTAAAAAAAAATCTCGATAAAATCCTTTAATCAGATTTGGCTGATTATTTCATATCTCATTAGTTTCGATAAAGATAAAATATTTCATAATCTAAATATAATTCATACTTGTAAAATCAATTGGAATTATTTTAACTTGTGTATTTGAATTTTTACTTTGAATTTCTTTTGCTACTTGTTCTAATTTTTCCTTTGTTCGACTAATTAAAATCACATTAAAACCTAAGCGAAATAAATATCATATCAAAACTTCTACTATTTATAATTTATATATCTACCTCGTTTAGCTAATTCAATAGCATATGCTTTTCCAATTCCGTCTGTACTTCCTGTAATTAATGCCCATTCACCAAATTTTTTTATATCAACTCTTAATGGACATAAAATTTGATAAATAAAAGTAGCAAGACGTGCTACAATACAAATAAGTGCAAATGCTCCAAATGTTTCTAAAAAGCTCATCGTCCTGCTTTTACTGTTTCTTATCTAAAAGTGAATATATATGCGAAAAAGGTTTCGACCAATGAATTGTGCATCCATAGAATATTATCTGGATGAAAAGAAAGAAATGTATTGTTATTTTATTATTTGCTCACATAAAAAGGTTTTTTGTTTGTCAAAATTAAAATCATGGCTGATTATCTTGCATCAATATTTGGTACTGAAAAAGATAAAGTTAATTGTTCATTTTTTTTTAAAATTGGTGCATGTCGTCATGGTGAACATTGTTCAAAATTACATAATAAACCAACATTTAGTCAAACACTATTATTAAAAAATCTTTATTTGAGTTTAGAAAATAGTTCACAAAAAGCTGATAAATCATTTATTGCTGATGATATTACAGAAGAACGTATACAAGAACATTTTGATGACACATTTGAAGAATTATTTGTTGAATTAGAAAAAAAATATGGGGAAATTGAAGAAATGAATATATGCGATAATTTATCTGAACATTTGGCTGGTTAATATTTAGATTTTATAAGAATTTTCAAATTTTATTTTTTATTTTAGGAAATTGTTATGTCAAATTTCGTTTTGAAGAAGATGCTGAAAAAGCTGTTACTGATCTTAATAATCGATGGTTTGATGGACGTGCTATTTATGCAGAATTAAGTCCAGTTACTGATTTTCATGAAGCTTGTTGTCGACAATATCAAATGGGGTAAAGAAATAATCCATTTTAACAAAATCAGACGTAAGATCTGGCAGATCAGACGAAATCGTATGAAAAATTCTACGAAAAATCGTCATCTCTGTAAAACTTACATCAAGTTCTGATGTACGATTCTTCTAACATTATATTATCTATATGATCTTTTCGAGGGACCATATAAAATCTTGTAAGAATTGTATGTCAAGACTTGGCACAAGTTTTGCAGAGTCTACGAATTCTTGTAAGTTTTCGTCTGATTCTTAAAAGATTAGATATGAATCATGAAAGATCTCATCGTTTAATCGGAGAACTTATCAAGTAAAAAAGGAATTAATGAAGTGTCTTGAACAAAAGATATTAAGCAGAGAAACGTTATTTTTATAGAAAGAATAGAATAGAAATATGATATGTTCTATAGCTGAGATGCGATTAATTAGATTAAGACATACAGTCATGTTTTGAAGTGAGCAGTGCAGATAGAAAAAGACACTAGTTGGATGTCTGTATACTTTTTAATATTGTTGCAACTTGTTTCTGTTTCTAGTCTTATTATTTCATAGATTATATCATGATGATAGAATCTTCAATTGCTTTGTTCTATTAGTGCTGATAGAGACTTTTTACTATTTGAATGCCAATTTAATCAATTTTGAGTAGTTCTATGTATATGATGAAGGAGATTAAAGTATTTTTGGTTGCAGATATTTCTATTCGTGATTGATTATTTGTATCTGAATATACATAGCCATGTTAATCATTGCTAATTCTACACATTTTGATAAAACATCAACTATAGATTATCTTTTTTCGATACCAAACGTTGATTAACTCATAGTTGCAGTCACTTTCTCTGATATCTTTCCTATAAAATGCATAGAATGTGGAAAATGTAAGATAATCAATCAGAGTTAAAGAGTCTACTATTGATTTTGTTATTTTCTCGCCTCATGTTTACATTTCCAACGTAAACATTCATTTAAAATTAAAAAATATATATAATAGTCAAACTCTTATGTATTTTGAAAACATTCGGTGATGACTAAGTTTTGAAGCCATTGGTGATTCTTAAGAAAAATGTTTCATAATAATAAAGAATATTGAATATTATCCGTTCGCTAACCTTAATATTGACATTTGGAAGTGTATTTTCTACCTTCAACAGAAAATACGATTAAACTAATTTACGGGCTTTGACAGCTGTAAAAGCTGTGATTTCTAGTTATAAACCGTCTCTTCTATCATCATGTAACTATTCTAAATCACTATGCGAGTTCTGTTGGTGATAAGAATCAAATGTAGGACGAGAAGAATTTTTTGCGATATGAAGAAAATAATTAAAAAACTATGGCGATGAATGACTCTACGTCACGGATGGCTAAAAAGAAGAAAAAAACTGTTATCTTCAATTAAACTAGGTTACATTAAGAACTATTCAAGTTTACTATGTAGAGAACGTGCACATTGCTGTCAACAAGCTAATTTAATGCAGAGAAACTACAGTCAGACACATCTAGTGATAAAATCTGTTAACAAGATAACGTTGTAGTGAGAGGCAACTAAAGAAGATCTGAGAGTTATTTCACCTGATTAACATGTGTTATTGATAAAGAAATATTCTGTTTTCTTCTAGGGATTGTCCTCGTGGTGGATTTTGCAATTTTATGCATTTAAAACCGGTAAGTTAGATTTTTTTTTCTTCTATGTATGTTTTTCTTCTATTTGTTTTCGACATAGATTTCAAAAGACTTACGAAAACGTTTGTATCAACGTCGTCAAAAAAAGCCTCGTGGTGATTCCAGATCTCCATCAGGTGGTGGTGGTGTTGGTGGTGGTGGTGGTGGTGGTCGTTCTCGCTCTCGATCACGTGATCAAGATCGTCGACGATAAGACAAAACCTATCTCGATTCTCTCAATAAACATTTCTTTTTTTTCTTCAAGTAAAAAGAAAACAAATTTAAACTCGTATATAAGATGTTCTTCATGTCCTCTATCTGTTGTAGATTGTCTTCATTATATTAAAAATAAAAACTAAAAGACAACAATTTGA